GTGGGATAGACAGATGGATGATGGAGACAGATGCATGGCCGATGGATGGAGAATAGACACATGGTGATGGATGCATGGCCGATGGATGGAGGGTAGACAGATGGTGATGGATGCATGGCCGATGGATGGATGGTAGACAGATGGTGATGGTTGATGGGTAGAGAAATGTAATGGCTGATAGTTAAATAGATGGATGGAGAGTTGACAGGTGTGATGGTTGACGAGTAGATAGATGGATGGTTGGTAGACATATAGCCAATGGATCTAAGGTAAATATGTGCTTGATACACAGATAGGTGACATATGGGTGGTGCATTACAAAGCTGACAGGTTAATGGGCTTTACTGGTATGTAAGTTTATATGGACACGAACAGGTGGTTGAATACAGACGGATAATGGACGAGTGGAATGGATGTTGAATATAGAAGTCCACACTAGATGGAAAGAGAGACGCCTGGATGGATAAGACGTGGATGGACAATGAGTTGGCTGATGGATGATATACAAATGATCACGGACGTTTCAGTAAGCGGGGAGTGTACGACAGATGTTACAATTTGTAAAGGTGAGGTGAGGTGAAATTGGGTTTTACGTCGTGCTTGAGAATATTTCGCTCATATGATGACGTGCATGCGTGTGTGTGTATGTGCGGCTGCTTGTACTAGCCCAGACTGAAGCTGGTTTTATAGTGCTAGCCCACTGAGATACCATGCCGCAGTGAAGCATGAATACCCCACTCAGACACATTATACTGACTCCGACCCGACCAGTCCTTGTTGTACCCATTAATGCCGAGCGCCAGGCAGGGACCAACAAGTACCATATTTTAACGTCTTTTGGTATGACGCGGTCGGGGATCGAACTCCGCGACCTTCCGCTCTCCGGGCGGACGCTGATAACCACTACACCACGGAGGCGGTTACAATTTGTAAAGGAAACCGTAAACACCTTTGACTAAATGTAAGAGGTTTGCAACTGGACTTAAATCTGACGCATGTGTTTTGTAGAAATTGTAGTAAACTTTGGTCTCTTCTAATGCAAAGCTATAAATCCTCTTGATAGACAATTACTCCCATGCACCTAATACACATTGTTTTGATATAATCTGTGCCTGTTATATATACATACAGCCAACTCTCCTGTCCTCATGTATGTACAGCCACGGTTAGTGGCCTGGGTGAGTGAGTATGGTTTTACGCCGTTTTTAAGCAATATTCCAGCAATATCGCGGCAGAGGACACCAGAAATTGTCTTCACACACTGTACCCATGTGGGGAATCAAACCCGGGTCTTCGGCGTGACAAGCGAACGCTTTAACCACTAGGCAACCCTATAGCCCGTTAGTTCTGTCCTTTTCTGTCCCTCGTGTCTTTTGTTACACCTTTGTTTTTCACCTTCAATATCTCATAGCTATGACTGTGAAGTGAAACCGACGTTGTTGGTGATGATGGAGACGACGATGATGATGATGGAAAAAATTCGGCGATTGTCGCCCGTATAGAGACGTTGCTGTTGACGACGACGACGACGACGATGATGGTGATGCTGATGATGGTGGTGGCGGTGGTGGTGGGGATGATGACGGACAAAATACGGCAAAGCTCGCCTTTATAGAGACGTTATTGTTGACGACGACGACGACGACGATGACGATGATGATGATGATGATGATGATGATGATGATGATGATGATGATGATGATTCACCTGCAGTTACATTTACAGGTGGACAGATACACAAACAGACTGGGAGATCAACACCAACCATGTCAGAATCTCCAACACATGCCTCAAAGTGGTGCTGATTGTTCTGTTTATTCCCGTGACGGAGCAACTAGTGGTAAACAGTGTGAAGTTATAAACAAAGCCGTAAACAAACTAAAGAGCGACGCCAAGCCCCGAAACAATGCACGAGCTCTGACGCTCCCGCATACTCCAGAGTCCCTCGTCTGTTAAAATACTTAGCTAAAACCTACCAGCTTATCAGCTGTGTGCTCTATGAGTATGTGTACGCTGGTGTAAGAACGGTCGCTCTATACGACATGGTAAAAACAAACATGCACGATGCGTGGCACCGATGTTCGGTAAGAATCCTCGGAGCTAAGGTTACCCAGTAAACAGAGATTAACATGGCTGTAGTGCGCGTACATGTGATATGTTATATATAAATATCCTTTGCCATACTCTGGAAATAAACAAGCGATAGTTTAAGCTCGGAGGTTTCCGCAGGTGCCACTGCTTATTGGGAGAGCGTTGGAAATGCTTGCAGTTAATCCACTCTCGTTAAGACACGCATCGCTGCTCCGCGCGGCTCAAGCATTCGTTATTCCGAGAACTCGTTAATCCACATTTTCGAGTATCCAGTGCACTGTATTTTAGTTTTTATAAATTCCTTCCCATTGTGATAGGCATCCTGCATCCATTTGAAATCATAGTTCCGCACACATGGACACCGATTCGATTAAAAATAGCTATCCAATCAAATTGCTCTCATCAGCGAGAGAAATTCTGTGCTAACGTTAATAGGAGAAAAGAAGATGGGGACGTCACATCCGAAACTAAGCTGATCGTAGCTCTACGTCTGTCGTAAGTTTGTGTTAAAGTATAGGACTTACGATCACCTTATCGCTTCGATCGCTTTGTGAAATTGGGTCCAGGGCCCCGTTCCTCAAAGCGATCGTAGCGCTACGACAGTCGTAACTCCCATACTTTAACATAGACTTACGACTGTCGTAGCGCTACGATCGCTTTGAGGAACGGGGCCCTGGGTGTCGTTGCACAAAGCAACCTTAGTGTTACGACTCTCGTATGTATGAGTAGTTAGTTGTCATTTACAAATTCTTTTCTATAACAACCTTTTTTTCTTAAAGTCATAGCATAATAGATGCACATTTCCAGATTCTGTAATAATAATGTGTTAGTGTCCGTTAAGAATGAAATTACCATTATATACTATTACAAGCATCCAAGTGTAAGGGGGCGGTGGGGTAGCCTAGTGGTTAAAGCGTTGGCTCGTCACGCCGAAGACCCGGGTTCGATTCCCCACATGGGCACAATGTGTTAAGCCCATTTCTGGTGTCCCCCGCCGTGATATTGCTGGAATATTGCTAAAAGCGGCGTAAAACTAAACTCAGTCAGTCAGTCCAAGTGTAAGAAAATAAATTTCATTAACACGTACTGTTCTCGTTTATATCTTACGTTCAGAATAAATGATGACTCGACATAAAACCATATATGATCATTGTCCATATCTGATTTACAACAGCTGTGAGAGCTGTGTTTATAGTTTAAACAGGACCTTTACAAACATGTTACAATCTATATAGATAACTACATACATGAGCATGTGTATCTATTGAAAGAAGTTTACATATTTCGGTATCAACATTTGCAATTAACATGTAACACAGGCAACATTATCAATGAATTCTTGATTGACACAAACAACCAATTGACTTATCAACGTCTCCACAAACCAACCAACCAAACAACCAGTTGAACAGTCAAATAAACAATTGACATAACAGTCAACCATACAAACACCAATTAATCTGTTTAGAAAACAGCCAATTAAAAGTCTACGACCATTTAACTAATTACACAGACCATAACGGCTCGTTAACTAATTAAGAAATCGCTATTCAACAATTAACTAATTAACGATCATCAAATCATCCAGCAACAAATTAGCTATATGCTGTGTATTTAGTGAACAAAACACCACTGAGTTCATTAATAGCTTTGAGTATACCTTTTTGAGATTATGCGCTGTCTTCTTTATCAAAAATATACCCGGAAAAATATTCGTCATTATTATAGATTTTTCCGTATATCAGCAAAAATAAGTCTGTCAATTATGTTACTGTCTATATTATCAATGATAATACACATGAAGACCTGTTTTACACGGTGTGTAAGAAATGACCCGTACAAAGTAAAAGTATTAACTGAATTTACAAATTGAAACTCAAACGCACTTGAAATGACCCTCATGTATATTCGTGTATGGATCATTAACGAGGGAATAAGCGCGTGCTGTACCTGTAATTGAGTAATTAGTCCCTGGTCACAGTAGTGGGTACAGGCAACCCCATGACCCAAACGCCTTCTCCTACCCCCACTGTTTCAACTGCTCGACCCCTACCCCATGCCTTCGTCCCTCTCCCCAAAATTAACGCATGAATATCTAATATTGGCGAAGAGGTTAAAATAGGAATTTACATCTCATCGTGCATCATTCATTATGTCTGCAATTTTAATAGGGCTTGTTTTGACATGTTCGCTTGCGTGATAAAAAGACTAATAGTTTGTATATAGTTGTCTGTTCTTGCATATGCACTTATAATGGGAATAAGAGCTGCAATTTAGTTTACAACCAAAAACATGCATCATATTTAGAAGTAGGCCTACAGCTAGGCTATATAAATGATTTTGTATAGTTCTTTTGCAAAGGCAGTGATTATGTATGTTGGATTTTTTGCTTTTCAAGACCCTGTGTATTTGTGGTTAATACTTTTTTTTACTTCGCCTTTTGGATGCCAGTTTGTTATGCATATGAGTTTATGAACTATATATAAAGACTTATATACACGTCTGTAGTGTGTTTTTAGAATACGTACAGGACTGACGTAACATTCAAAACGTTCCAGTGTGATGTCACATTCACCTTTATCACTGAAATTTTCTTGTAGTTAAACTTTTGTTATTTTTTTTAAACTTTACGTTTTATGAATATAAGATTCAAGATCCATGCCATTTTTCAAATGAACTTAATAATGAATATTGAACCCCAAAACACACGTATTTAAGTTAGTGAGTGCAATTATAACGTTGAACGAAAGTTTATTTTCGAATATGTATTCAACTGTGTAATTTTTAGGTGACACGTTTGAAATCATATTCAAGAAACAGATGGCAGGCAGGCAAAAGGCAACCTAACTTCCCGCCTTACCGGATGTCACGGAACATGGGCAGACTCACTCAATGAGCGCATGCGCAAAATTCGAAGCCAACAGGACGCCGTGTTGGGAGATGGAGTCATATTTGTAATTCTTTGTATTTTATGTTCACTCGAAAGGGAAAATATGGCTTGAACATGAGCAGATTCATAAATCAGTGATTGGAGGTGCAAATTCTAAACATTTGGACCTCTAACTCATCAATGACTTCACGATTTCAAATGTTTTTCAAGCAAACCTCGTGAGTATCTTTGTCTGCAGTTGACTGTTTACTGATTTCGCTTGTATGCTCTTTGTTGATTCCGGCGATCGTAAAAGATTAGCAAGGTTTGTTTTCTTAGTATCAGGGTACTTGCATGTAGGTTTTAGTTTGTAGCTCATTATCATAATTTTGAATTGGAGAAATAAAAAGAAATAATCAGTTGGGAAGGAAGTTGGACGCCATGATGCATATTTTATTAGGTCGATCCACTTCCTGTTTAGCAATGGCCGGCTGTTTCACAGCGAAGCCAACAGAACGCGCGGGTCACAAAGAGCTTGCGCTGATCTCGTGGATAAAGCATGTCACCTGATTTGCTAGTGGTATCAAGTTAAGTTGACGATGTTGATTTCAAGCGTGTTGTGGCATGATTTCTTACCGTGTCAACAATTCAAATAACAAAACGACTGTTGTCATGCATTTGATGTTACCGATCTTTACTTGTCGCTATTTCTGTGGGCAAAAGAATACTTGTACTTTTGTTCACGAGTGTTAGCTCAGACTAAATTGCAGTACATGTACAAAGTACCCTGATGAACAGGTGCGTTACTTGTTCAGTCTTTTAAACTTATAGTAAGTAGTTTGTTTGACAACCCTTTATTTCATTTTCGCTCGTTTTATACGTGTATAGTTCGTGAAGGATAAAAATTGTAGTCACTTTTTTTAAATTGCAGTATGTACCAAATACTTTGGAAAACCAAAGCTGACATAGACTTGTCTTTTCAGTATTTTCTGTGTGTCTTTATCTGCCACATGTGCACTTCAATTCAAGAATATTTCCCCCTCTCTTACACTAACAATCACCTTCACCCCCATATTCAAATATTCAAACAAGACAGAAAACAAAGTGTCAATAATTATCACTGCATACACAATAGAAATACATATTTAACAGTTGATGTATGTATAATGCAGTATTCAGTAAAATATTTGTTATGCTCATTTTCTCACCTAACCATTTTTTATTTCATTTTTCAGCAAAAGTATTAGATAGAAACTCCAGGAAAACATGGAGCCAAAAGTTGATTTAAATTTTGATGTGAAAATATTCTGCCAAAATTTACGGGCCACTAAACCACCTTACAAGTGTCCTGTTGATAGTTGTGGTAAGGTGTACAAGAGCTTCTCGGGCATTCAGTTCCATCTGTACAACTATGATCATGACAATCCAGAGAATGTGCCATCACCAGCATCAGTCAAGAAGACGAAGAAGAAATTGGCAAAGTGGCATCATCGGCAAAATCGTCGGTCACCTACCCCACCTGAGTTTTTCCGATCACCGACAAGAGAGACTTTGACTTACGCAGAGGCTCAAAGACTTGTAGAAATTGATCTTGAAGGGAGAATCCACAGAATAGATATTTATGAACCTTTAGAAATAATTTCACAAGACGAGATTGATAATCAACACAATACTGAAAAAGAAGAAAAGGCAGAAAAATCTCCCCTCAAAGGTGGGAAAAGTACAGACAATAACAAGAAAAAGGAAAATGGTACTGTGATCTCAAATAATACTGTCAAACTTCCTGAGGCACAAGTTAAAGTATTAGATGATTATATCAAACCATCTGGGCCTCCACAGCGAACATCTTCCTACTATCGTTACATGGAGAAATCATCGGATGAGTTGGATGAGGAAGTAGAATATGACATGGATGAAGAGGTAAAGATCTAGAAAGCACCAATCATATCATTTTGTTAATACACTACCAAAATACACACAAATAATGTCAACTTGTATTACCCATACTTTAATAGTGAGTATCATTTCACAATTGATCCATGCTGAAGTTGAAACCTTGATTCTGTCAGTTTTGATTGAACCATACCCGACTTTTAATTGCAATGACTCATTAAATGACTACAGATTAATTGTAAAGATTCTTTTATAGATTCTAGTTTTTACAGGCTTATGAAACTGATTCAGTTACGGAAGAGCTGTATCATGCTCATATTTCAGCAGTATGTCACATCAAACTACATTTTTTATTTTAACATGTTCTTTCAAAGTAGTCATTGAATATTCACTTCATTAACTTGTCTATTGATTTCTTATTTTTCAGGATCATGCTTGGCTTGAGATTCTGAATGATAAGAGGGATACAGATGGAATACAAACGGTTTCGCAAGAAGTGTTTGAAACACTTATGGATAGGTTTGAAAAAGAAGCTTACTTCCAAAGTCAAAGCTCAGGAAAAGATCCGAATCCCTCCATTGACGAAGATGCTGTGTGCTCAATATGTATGGATGGCGAATGCCAAAATAGCAATGTGATTCTCTTCTGTGACATGTGTAACTTGGCAGTTCATCAGGAGTGCTATGGTGTACCCTACATTCCAGAAGGACAGTGGTTGTGTCGGCGCTGTTTACAGTCCCCATCGCGAGCAGTTGACTGCTGTCTGTGTCCCAACAAGGGAGGTGCTTTCAAGCAGACAGAGGATGGACGTTGGGCCCATGTGGTTTGTGCTCTCTGGATCCCAGAAGTGGGGTTCGCCAACACAGTATTTCTCGAGCCCATTGACAGTATAGACAGGATTCCAGCTGCTCGAAAGAAATTGACTTGTTACATTTGCAAGCAGAGGGGTTCGGGGGCATGTATTCAGTGTCACAAGACCAATTGTTACACAGCATTTCACGTGACTTGTGCCCAACAAGCAGGACTCTTCATGAAAATAGAGCCTGTTCGGGAATGTGGACCAAACGGAACGACAAATGGAGTCAGAAAGACAGCGTACTGTGATGTGCACACTCCTGCGGACTCGGACTGTACGCCTCATTTAGCAGATGAAGACAAGTCAGTGTCTGCTAAAAAGGCAAAAGAAAAATCAAGAATCAAGATGAGAAAAGCAAGGAAAATTTTAGCAGAGAAACGCAATGCTGTGCCAGTTGTGTCAATACCAATTATTCCACAGTCGAGGTAAGGATTAATATTTATGTAAACTGTCCTCAAAAAGTACTTTTTGCTGAACTTGTATTTGCTGCTTTATTGATTCTTTGAAGATCTTACATTTTAAGTTGTTTCCAATTTCATGTCGTATCAAGAGTGATTTTAAATAATGATTGATCAAAACTGTGAGGCAAATGACTGATCCTGCTTATTACCATATTGTTTTTAGATCATATTTAAAATAACAGTTTTGTGTATTATTATTGAATTTATCAAGAATTTAATAGTAAGTGCCTTTGGCTGGCAAATGGGCAAACAATTATTTGTCATTAATGTCATTCAGTCTTTGGGAAATTCATTGATAAAGTAATTCTAAGTGAGTGAGTTTAGTTTTACGCAGCACTCAGCAATATTCCAGGTATATGGCAGCGGTCTGTAAATAATCAAGTCTGGATGAGACAATTTGGTGGTCAACAACATGAGCATTGATCTACGCAATTGGGAACCGATGACATGTGTCAACCAAGTCAAGGAGCCTGACCACCCGATCCCGTTAGTCAGTAGCCTCTTATGACAAGCATGGTTACTAAAGAGCAATTCTAACCCGGATCTTCACTGGTTAATGTTCCTAAGAAGGACAGAGGTCACATTCCATTAGATGTCAACATAGCCTAGCACAAAGCTGTAGACAGATCATTTCAAGGCTAGATGTCAACATAAGCATTTGATTATGTCAAGTAGTTTTTGAGTGTCATTAAAACCCTCTGCTCCAGTTATGCCTAAAAAAAAAAGCTTGTGGTTCCGATTTCCCGACCGACCCTAAATATTCCCGCCGAGCCTAACAATTTTACTCACCACATAATAAATTAAATTTATTTTCTGACACATGAGTTATGTAAAATATTTTGCAAAAAAGCCCAAAACCTACCTACCTACCCTAGTTCTGAAATGTAGTTAATCGGAACCACAACATTTATTGTTTTGGCCTTATGAATTGGTCTTCAACAACCAATGTTTGTCATAACAGGCAACCAACAGGATCAAGTGGTCAAGATTTTTTACATGGTTGATGCATACCATTGTATAGGCATAGCTTGATGCTTATGATGACAATCGCTGGATTATCTGGTTCAGGCTCGTTTATTTACAGGCAGCCACCATACAGCTGAAATATTGTCGAGTGTGCCGTAAAAACAATACACATAATGAATGCACAGGCAGAAATCATGATGCAAAATGAAATTTCTTGAATTGTGATTTAGTTAGCAAAGACAGTGGCCTTTAGTTGAAAGTTCAAATCCCACACTTATCATAATTATCTTTCTCGGTTTGTCAGCACTAAACTTGTGGTGCTCTATATTCATGGAAATGATGAAAAGCATTGATAATAAGCTTTCTTACACACTTTCCACCTAAAAAGGTTTGATATTTCAAAATATGCATGTGCTTTAATGCAGCATTGCTTGATAAACTACACCTTAGGACAGGAAAAGAATCTTCAGCTTCCTTGGCTCTTGCTTCCAGTATAACATTTTTATCGGTTTTCAGATCTTTTCGATATTTTGTCCCTCGTCTTACATAGTGAAACCCTGTTAATGTGGAAACTCTGCTTTATACAGCCATTAGTACCATGTATTTACAATTCATTGTGGTACTTTGTAGGAGACCAATAATATGCAGGATATTTTTGCTGGGGCATCCTGTATCATCTCAAAATTTGCAGACAAGATCTCCAGAACATTTTGAATGACCATCATTTTTCTAGAAAATGTCTTCGGAAACTGTATTCATGTGATGTTTTCATTTTAAATGGAGATCATGGTTATGTTTGGATTAATTGGCTTTCACTGAAGATTAACATCAAGTTTTGGGTTCAATATTAAAATGAGACTTGAGAGAGTCATGGGTCCTTGTCCTGATCTTGACATGTTAAAAATTTATGGCAACATTAGATCGATATACTGTAGCAGGGCTACATTTTAGACACTGCAGTGGTCCATCATTTTGGCTAGTTTCCTGTCAAAATGTACTGATTTCCTAGGGGCGAAAAAGATTTATTCTCTGTTGGAGTTCTCATGCGTCATAATGCCGGCAGTGCAATGATACATTTTTCTCTGTATCTATACAGATAATACATTTGTGAAAATAAGTTCCTTATTTCACGCTTAGTGACTCCCTAGCTGTTTTGTTTGTCTATTGCAAAATTTGTTTTAATTAGAATTTTAAGTTACTAACAAGAATAGCTACAAATTAGTACAATCAGTATGAGTTGACAAAAGCTTTTCCTTGGGAACCTGCTGTGAAATGTTTGTATTCATAATGTTTTCCTGTAATTAGGCCAAAGCATGATATCGAGATACATATCGAGATACATATCATAATGTTACTTACTTATCATGACCTTGCTGTATTGTTTCATCCCTATTATTTTACATATACCACTGCAGGGTATGATTTCATTATTTTTCACTACTTGCACCAGGTGCAACTAAGTGGATTAATCAGGTTGCCCCACAAAATATTGGTTGCACCATGTCAACAATCCTGTTGCTGTCTTAACTTTCAGAACTGCTCACAATACTGAATGTCTTTTGGAATTGTTTGACAAATGGTTGCTTTTTACATGTTTTAACTGACATTTTCATTCAGTAATTACTTTTCCGCTCCATCGCAGTTGGCAAAATCATGAAATGTCAGAAGATCGTGCACAGAGTGTGTTCGAGTAACTGATTAATGAGCATGAAAGTAGACTTGTTTACATTTTTTTACTTCAGAAACTGATTTACCTGAAGCAAGCTGTAGGAATAAACTTATCTAATATGGGAAATTTACACCAGTGAACTGCTGCCATGCATTTATGATGGAAATGATGGAAATCTGCAGCCTGAAAATGACAATTTCCTGCACACGCAATACTTTACCTGCCCTGGTACAGTCTGAATGTAGTGAAATCAGTCCATGACTTGTATAAAGTTGAATGTATGATAGTTGATCATCAACAATATGTGATAGCATTTCCCTCACAGCAGACCTCGAGAATCATTCAAAATTTTGAACACTGTCTAGTTATGAAATAATAGCGAACAAAATGTATGAGCAAGAATTTTTTAATAAACCAATGTCAGAACTGGTTCTATTTTGTCCAGGTTAACTCGGATTTCTAGTCTGGTGTCTCTTCAGAAGAAGGATCAATTTCTCAAGCGTCTGCTCAGCTACTGGACCCTCAAGAGACAGTCCCGGTTTGGAGTGCCATTGCTCAGAAGGTTACAATCTAATCATATGACACGCAACAAGGAACATGTAAGTCATTGGTCATAGATGCTTTCACTTAATGAACTGGTTAATTTTCTGGGTTTCATCAACATGCTTCAGGGCTTGAAATTGTTGTTTGATGAAATGTTGTTTGGCATTTTAGAAGATGCTATTTGATGAACAAAAAGAATTTTCTGGGTTTCATCTGGTAGGGAACCAGGGAAGGGAACTCTCATAGCCTTCAGAATGTTGTGGCACCAAAATTGCTTTGCTGGACACTGTGCTACAAAGCGATCTTTGAGTTTCGGTGAACGTAGGCCTATGTTAAAGTTTTGGAATAATGATCATCTTAGCACTAAGATCGATTTGTGAAACTGGGCCCTGACCTTTTATCTTATTTATCTATGATTTCAAGGTGAAATGTGTGAAAATGAGTTTTGGTTTAGTATTTCAAATATACTTTTCTAAAATTGTCAGATATTGTTATGAATGAAGTATGGATATATAGAGTTCTTTAGAAGTCTATGAGTACAATTAAGATTTTTTGAGTCATTAGTACATGATTTTTTAATTTATGGAAACAAATTCTTTTTTCAGCAATCAAAGAATGATAAGCAGAGCAATGCTCTTCGTGAGCAACTTAAATACTGGCAGAGATTGAGGCAAGATCTGGAGAAAGCGAGATTACTAGTGGAACTTATTCGCAAGAGAGAAAAATTAAAAAGAGAACAGGTAAGTTTGTAAATATAGCATGCTTTGTGGTTACATTTTAACTTACGCCTTTTTCTAGAATGCACTAGGAAGGCAAAAGTCAGTGTGGTAGCCTGATAAGGAGATAAAGAAGTTCATTGGAACAAATGTTGTAATTTATCAACCTCGAAGTCTACTAGCCCAGACTTGGATGTCAGCATCATTATATGTAGACTTGCTGGTTTTGTTTCGGCATTTTGCGAGACGGAACTGAAACAGATAAGTTGCTGAAGTCTGGAGACTTCTGATATGGTTTGATACATAAGCTACGAAAATTAAGGATCACAGTCAAGGGGTGAACCATTCCAGTATCTCTTTGTTGTAAGAGGCAACTACTTTAGATTGTTTGGTTGGGTTTTTGTTGGTAGTATCTTATCATATACAGAAGGCCTGGGCCGTTTCTCATATCAGTTGCTAATGTGTCAGGCCCAGACTCGATATAGATGCAACATTACTGTCTGAGACAATTAGTAACCTATTAACTCAAAACAGCATGGATTGTAGAATTCAATACCAGTATTTCAGTGTCACTGTGACATTGTTGGAATGTTATTGAATTTTTTTGTACTTTAGTATTATTTCAAGTAGCTCTTCGACCGCCTCTGTGGTGTAGTGTTTAAAGCATCCGCTTGGAGAGCGGAAGGTCGCCGGTTCGATCCCCGACCGTGTCATACCAAAAGACGTTAAAATATGGTACTTGTTGGTCCTTGCCTGACGCTCGGCAGTACTGGGTACAACAAGGACTGGTCGGCTTGGAGTCAGTATAATGTGTCTGAGTGGGGTATAAATGCTTGACTGTGGCATGGTACCTCAGTGGGCTGGCACTGTAAAACCAGCTTAAGTCTGGGCTAGTAGAAGCAGCCACACATACACACGCATGCATGTCGTCATATGAGAGAAATATTCTGAAGTGTGATGTTAATCCTCATTCCTCCTCACCTCAAGCAGTTCTTAGATTTTGGTGCGGATTGCAGATGTTCATATTCTCTGAGAGTCAGACATGACATGTGAAATACTTGTGGGAAAATGGCATCCAATTTGCATGATCATTGAATTTTATTGAATTTTTTTCAGATTATATATTGCTTGCAAATTTGACAAATGTTTGACCATTTCACTGCATTAGAAATCAGACGTAATTACTTAGAGCTTGTTGATACCTAAAGAACGATTTTAGTGATTACTGCCATGTGTGGGAGCTTGATAATGGGCAATCTGATTTGTAATCGTCCAATAAACAATATGAGTATTTGTGTGCCATTGCAATTAGTGCAGTGTATGTGCTTGCTGTACCCGCTGAGGTGGTACAAAAATTGGAAAACTGCCAGACTTGATTTCGTCTGCTCCATTGATGATTGGTAACAATCACTTCTGAACTGGACTCGGTAATCTTTGTTGTTACAAGTGAAGCCTCTTCCAGTGAATGAGTTTCAAGCCTGGTTTATAATTATAGTAATTAGCATGTGCCCTTGACTTGACCGATGTGGGTACTGAAGCAAATAGCATCTCATGGAGAGTTTGGGCCAATGGTCTAGCCAGTTGTATTTCTATGAATAATTTGCTGTCACAAGCAGACGCCAGAAGGTATAAAGTTTAAACTTGTCAATTCCATCAGCACAATGTTTCTGCTGGTAGTGAAGCCAAGATGAGGATTCTTGGTCAGAATAAGACTAGGAAATTCATGGTTGTCTAATAAATATATTTAACTAAGGATTGCTGGTGGTGAAAATCAATTCGTATTTTCAAGTCTATAAAAGATTATCTTATATTCATCTGTCTATAAAAAATTATCTACAGAGTTGCAATGTATATAATGTTAACAGCAATAGACCAGAAGGAAATGTGAATTATGTTGCTCTCAGCTAGCAAGTGAATTTCAAACCCAGAGATTGCTACAATGGTAGACTGGCTGAGCGTATTCTGATGGTGTGAATCAATCATTCAGCCACAGGTTTGACTCAGTAATATGCAGGTTGCTTCGATATAGCTGGAATAAGGTGTAAGACACATTCAGTAGCTCACATTTCGTGGCAGGACAATGTCAGAAGTCTGCAGGCATTATTGACATTTGGTATTTGCAGTGATGAGGAAATCAGTTCATTTGTAGTGTATGTAATAACTGCCCCAAGGAGTCACTCTGTTCTTGTGTGTGTAATCTTGGAAAGTGAAAATTATGCCAATCGACCAGATTGTGAACTTAAGCTGTGGGTTTTTCATATGGCTGATGTATACAGGCATCTATTTTTCTGAGGTTATGGTTACACTATGTGATCTCCAGAGTTGTATTTTAAAGGAAAAACCATCACCAAAAAATTGTGACAACTCATACCCTAAAATAATAATTATGAAACAATATTGATCAACTCCATATGTCTGTAATGGTAATCTTGAAAGTGTTGTTAGGGTTTGTAATAAACACCCAAGAGTGCATTTTTGATTTCCCAATCTCCCATTGACATTATAGGTTTCAATGTTCAAAATTATGGAATTCCTGAGGTCCTAATTTTTCTGCTAAAGTAATTGACTCATGACATGTTTAATCTTAAGTTTTAACAATGAGGTCATGCTGAATTTCGAACCCTGTATCCATAATAAGATATTGCTACAAAACCACTGAAAAACACACATTGGATAGAAAATATGTGTACATCTCCATCAATATTTCTTGGTATGTAAAACAAAGGTACAGAAAACAGGGATTAACGACAGTGAAGTGAGAATAACAGGATATTATGTCCGCCCTGTCATCTTCTCAATATGTAGTCCTAATTAGATTACATAGACTTGGAGTGAGTCCATCATGTCGGAAGATTACTGGCTTTGATACTGTCTGTCTGTGGATCAACTTACCTTGGTTATCAGTGAGCACTTGGTATCAGTGTACCCATTGTGTTGCAATAATGAGTTTACAAGTGGAGAACTGTATTGGAATTTTCAGATAAGGTACATGGTTATTTCATAGCACTTGAAATAACTGAAAGATTGCTATCTTTTCTTGTGTTTCCTTTGGTAGTACACAGAATCCCGGGCCCAGTAAACTTTCTAGTGAAAGTCAATTTTTTGTCAAGATGTTGAACAGGCTTAAAAAGTAAAATGATTATTTTTTTATTTATTGGTTTTTCTCTTTTGTACGTATTGGCACAATTCCTGCTCTTTTTCTGAATTAACAATCACAGTATTTCATAATTCTACTACAGACTTGTCAGAATAATATATGGGGCGGTGGGGTAGCCTAGTGGTCAAAGTGTTGGCTCGTCACACCGAAGACCCAGGTTCGAATCCCCACATGGGTACAATGTGTGAAGCCCATTTCTGGTGTCCCCCGCCGTGATGTGGCTGGAATATGGCTAAAAGCGGCGTAAAACAAAACTCAGTCAGTCAGTCAGAATAATATATGATTGCTTAAGAGTTGTACTGTAATGATTAGTGGTGGACATCAAATGGAACCCTGAGGTCTGCACATGTATATGAATCAGGTGAACCCCCAAATATTTTGTTTATGACTTAGGACTAGGGATGCACCAAATCCAATGTGAGGCGTATTAGATATATGTCATGAACAAGTTTGAATATTACTAGTATGTAATGAATATAATTATTTGGTTATGGTCACAAATGTTGGGTAATAAATGCAATAAAAAGCCAGTAAATGATGTATTATTCCTTATATTCAGTGAAACAATGAGAAAATATATTCTTTCCTATGTTTTCACTGTTAATTTATCACGACAGTGACCACATTAATGTTAATTTAAATATAGAAGAGTGTTTACTACTATCTTGCTTGGCTTGAATATGTTTTGCATGTCTCGCTTACATAAAATACACCAAATTCAAGTAAAATAACACCTTTTAAAAAAAAACAATCATAAATACTCAATTTTCGTGATAACGTATTAAATTCATGAAGGGATACCATTAAAATTACCCGAATACATGCGTGAATCAGAACAGTCCTAATGACCCATTTACTTTCATGTTTAACTTTAAACGCATACTGACTTGTGGCTGTTGAGGACAAGACTGTTTCTGTGACTGTTGCAGTGTTAAGTTTTTCCCTGCTTCACACATTTACAGTTTGTAACCCAAGAAAGCATGGCTGATACCCAAGTGGATATTGAATCTGACAGTTCTGTTGACATACACTGCCAACAATAATGAACTTCTGTTTGTAGACTGAATTGTGATGGACAGATGGAACAAATGATGTATGTTAATGAAAGGGTTTTGTTTCAGATTCGATTCCACCAGCTTGCCACAGAGTATCAGCTTCAGCCGTTTGTGTTACTTCTCCGACAAACCCTGGAACAGTTGGAGGAAAGAGACACCACCAGTATCTTTGCAGAACCTGTGTCTCTGAAAGAGGTAGGGATATAACATGTGTAATATCAGCACTACTCTTGATTGGTTGACATTCTGAAGGGTCTCATGACAGAAGTGGTTAAGAATTTCTAGTTTGTTGTTTACGTATTCTTTCACAGTAAATAGGGCTCTTGAAGACTGTTATCATTTTATACACAGAGATCTTACTATGGAAATTTTAACTGTATATCAAAGACCCATTTACTTTCTTGGTTAATTTTGAACATTGATTAAGCACTTGTGTTCATTAGTGTTGGGAATTGGTTGAAATCTCACAATTGACGATTGCTTCATTACCAACAAACAATCTTCGAAAAAAATTGGTTAGCGTCATTTTTCAGATTAACCTATTCAGGTTGTTATTGCAGATATGTATAACATGATGCACCTTGCTACTTTAAAGTGATGACTAATGTATCATGAACATAAACTTCCCGGAGTCTTCAAGAAATATTCAGTCATGGCTTCTCAGTTAGTGAAGTGAGTTTTCTAAGAATTAAACACGTTTTCAGGCCCTGACAACTTCAACGATATGTTCCATTGTCAAGTATTTCAAAGACTAGAACAGTAGTTCCAAAATCGTTTATGTTCAATTATGACAAAATGTGATCAGTTGCTGGGTCGTTTGGTCACTGCGATCAATCTTCGATTATTTCAATTAATCGGAACACCACTAGTGTTCATAAGACCGTCTGGTCTTCATATTTCCTTGAGTTTGTGTAAACTCACAAAGTATTCAGATTTATTGTGTAGATATTCCTTTTTCTCAAAGATTCAGGATTCTCTGATTTGGGAGAAAGAAACAGGAATTAGTCCATCATAAATCTCTGTCAAATGTTACTTTGAAATTTGTGCAAATGGCTTCATTTATACAGACAACCTGCTGTTTGCTTGATGAAGTAATTGCAGTGTGATTACTTGGAGCATATGAAACTATTTCTCCATGTCTGTATATATAATGAAATACAATTTTCTCAACAGGTTCCCGATTATTTGGAGTACATTGACAAGCCAATGGATTTTCAAACAATGCGGAAGAGAGTCGATGGTCACTTCTACACGAGTGTGGATGAGTTTGAGAGTGATTTTGAGCTGATTGTGCACAACTGTCTGACGTACAATGCCAAAGACACCATGTTCTACAAGGCTGCGGTGAAGCTGAGGGATCAGGTAGGTTCTATAGCATACTCCTCATAGTTGTACAGATAGAAAATGCCAACCTGCCATTCGGCTGTAGTACATATTTTTCATATAAGAACATGCACACTTAGAATAGAAGCTGTGTGCACTGGGGCTGGCAGAAAGATTGATATTTGGAAATATCGTTCATGGGAAGAATTATTCTGAGGTATTGATACAGGGTTTTACCTCGACTCACAAACATGGGGGTCTGGGAACCCCCAATTATTAGTTTTAGAGGTCCTTGCTGGCATAATGAGGATCCTGTGAGGTAATGGTGTAGAGAACTGTACGTTTTGATAATTTCTTTAGAGACTGGAATTAATCGTTGATCATATGGACTGGTGGATGAAATGATGCACGTTATTGGTCTGAATGAAACAACCAAACACTTAGCAGAGTCACAGATGTGTTGTTGGTACAATGAATAATATTGTGCGTCCCTCAGGATGCAGTGAATTTTAATCATGCGTCCATTCTCTCGCGTAAAAGCCTGATTGATATGAAAATTGTGTTATCAAGAATACCTTACATGAATTATTGTGATGAAACAATGTCTTAAGGTGAATGACCAAGAAATTGGGACCATGATTATCTTGACAGTTGGTATGGTACCTATTTGTCAACATCCCGATTCACCTTTACTGAAATTTGATGGAAATTACCCATGAACTTTTGTCAGCAAACATGGATTTCTAAAATGGTTAAAATATTTCCCATTCATTTGGAAGATTTTGTTAATTTGGTTTGAAAAGATATATAATCTTTCATTACCCTTTGTCAAAATAGACATGTTTAGGTCCGTTGCATTTAGATTCAAGTGCAGAAACTGAAAACCCCAGTACACCCTTAATTTCTAAGATGATTCTGTCAACTTTCCATTTGAGAGTCTTGATCCTAAAATACTTGTAAGTGTTGAACTTTTGAATAACTAACTCACTGTGTTTGGTTGTTCTTGTGCTTACATGATGCTTTGATTGACATTTATTAGCATTGGGCATGACCAAGTATGATGATGATGATGATGATGATGATGATGATGATGATGATGATGATGGAGGCCAAGTGTGACAGGCCTTGGAGTACACTGATTGATTGACACTTGCTTAATAGCACCACCATGTGGTCACATCACAATGGCCTGTCCTTGGTTCAATCTTATGTGTAGGCACAGCCTGCTAGACTTAATTACCTCTGGCCTTGTGATGCATGGTCACCAGCAAAGGTCAACGGGTAGAAGTGAGATTAGTGAATTACATGCTTTGAGGAAATACGCTGAGATACATATTAGGGCTGTGACATTACTCGAGATCATGCTATGATATCTTAATCATGATAATAGAGTAAGTTTTGACATAAGGTAATGATTAAAGGATGATTAGAAAAAAGGTTTTTGTTTCAAGGATGTATGGTTGTGAAACTGCAGTTTGAGGTTCATCCATTGAATTATTGCTGTTTTGGATAGCATTAACCTTCAGTATGGGGAATTTGTGGTTTGGACCAAGAATCGATAAACATTTAGCATATATTTAATTTACATTGGCCTTCTATTAATAACAAGAAATGTGCCATTTCCCTGTTGACTTTGATCAGTGTTCCATATTGGGTTCCTGGAACCTATTGGCATTTTAGAGCTGTGGGCAGTCGAGGGTAGCAGTGGTTCAAACTTTCATGGTTAGTTTCTCTCTTTGTTACAATATGTAAAGAGCACACTTGAAGTCCCCAACCATAATATGCATGGAGAATAGCTGAACGTAGGGACCGCCCCGTTCATTTATCTTTACATTTTGTCGTGAAAAAAATGTTTTATGGAGGGATTCCTTATTACAAAAACGCCTATTCAGGATAGGTGGAAGACCCAGGATTGATTACCAACATGGGTACAATGTGTGAACTCCATTTCTGGTGTCCTCCTGCTGTGATATTGCTGGAATATTGCTCAAAGCGGCATAAAACCAAGCTTACTGTTAGGGATATTGTCCAAACTTTAGATGCAAGTTCTTCTGAAGGTACTCTTCCAATACTCTTCCCTGGAATTTGTAGGTAATGCAATACTCCCGGATGGCGAGTCAGAAAGGGGATACACAGCTTAATTGTTTCAAAGCAGTTTTATGACTGATAGATTTTAAGCTTGAAGAATGGGCAGTTGTTAAGGCGTTTGCTGTGTTCAATTCTTGCATAGGTACAATGTGTGAAGTCCATTTTTGGTGTCCCCCCTCTGTGGTAGTGCTGGAATATTGTTAAAAACAGTGTAAAATCATACACAAAAATGTAATCAGTAATGATGAAGAAATGTTGATAACACACTGCAATTTCAGCAACTAGTCGTTACGTCACAAGCCTTGTTAAATATTTTGGAAATGAGAGAGGTATGGGCATCATCTGTAGGCTATTTGATCTCGCTGGTTTGGTTGACTCGTGTATGTCATCGTATCCCAGTTGCTTAGATCAGTGCTCATGCTGTTGATCACTGGATTGTCTCGTCAAGACTCAATTATTTACCGAGCGCCATCATATAGCTAGAATATTGCTGAGTGCAGCGTTAAACAACAAACCGACAAACCAACCATATTAGAACACTGAGCTGTACTGAAAATGATGCTAAGGTCTGTGTTAGTAGACTCAAAAGTTTTGGCACCGACTGCAGCCATGCATTGTGTTAGTAGTTTTTAGGAATGGTTTGCTTAGAATTCATGAGAAAACCACATAAACCCCCAGCAATCAGTTTTGACATCCAAGACAACTGTCTCATGCCTATGTATACACTTTTCACTCGAACGTTCAGTTGTTAGCAGGTAAAGCTTATCAATTATTATTCTGGTCTATCCATAGAGAAAACAGTTTCTGCTGCACACATGCCCATTTGCAAATTCTTTGAAATCTTTCAATGCATGTTTTTCGCCTGAATGACGTAGACAGTATATAATGAAATGTGACGGCTAGAAAGTAACAATGATTGTTATTGTTCGTGTTCATTATGGATCTTGGAACAAGACGTCAGTGAATACGCTGTCGAAACAAAAAGAACTGACACTTCAGCTATACGATAATTTTTCAATGCAAGAAAATGGTATTTTCTTTGTATAGCATTACATCAAGGGAATGGAAAGGAACTCTTGTTGGCTTGGTAAGAAGGGGAGGCCTATTCTGGAGACTGACGTTCCACATGGCCTTGTTTTAATTGAGAGTAGTGTTCCAAATGGAACATTTGTTTATCGTTACATATCAGTTAATTAAGCAAAAGGGCCCCGATATGATCTGTTTACAGATTTGCAGACCTTTCTCAGCTTTGTAAAAACGGTGAATAAGATTTGAGAAGATTCGAAACAGCACAGGTGGCTCTATTTGTCTGACTTCAAACACTGCACGTGCATATTTCATCCCAAGAAGCAGTGTAAATATTTACCCTTGTTATGTCATTAAAGTCAGGCAGCTGCCCTTGTGTCAGTGCAGAGGGAACTGACTCTATGATGAGCTCTCTGAACTTGTGTGATGTGCCAAATTTGACAAGTTAGAGATGGCTTGTGGGGGACAGAAGGAGGGATAGGTCACACCAGAAGCATAGAAGAGTTTAATTTTAAAACAGAATTTATTTATGTATTTTATCTTTTTCGGTATTTGACATCTTTTCTGTTTGCCTGGAAGAGTGGCATTTGTGAAGCGCTGAAACAGCATCTTAACATGAGATGAGAAAGTGTCAGAATCAGGACTTCTAACAGAATGTGGTTCATGTAACTGGGCCTAAACTAAAAGTGCATGGAACTATGGACTCCTTGTCATATCCCAGGGATTTACCGGATGCATAATCCTACATCCTATTCATATAAAAGTTGACAGCGGATGCATATTTTTTACAGACTGGAGATAGGAAATGCATATTTATGTTAAAGAAGGAACGCAATTTCATAAGTTGGTACCACTTAAAATAACTGCCTTATGTAAGCATTAAGAAAAGACAGAACACCATTCATCATCGTGTACTTCCAGCACTGAGCAGGAGCAATAGTATGTGTTTCATGCTTAATTATGGAGACTGTGAGTAATGTTACATTGCTGGCAACAGTGACCAAAGCCGTAGTACTGTATTTATAGAAATTATCACTGTAGTGGCTATCACGTTTGAACGAGTGACCCAACAAGTATACATGCTTGACCTATGGTCAGACTGTCCCTCACACTCAGATGAAGAACACTAGTATCCTTCAGTGATCCACCTATCATATATTTCCTGTCTGCTGTTATGCAAGCAGTGGGAGATCAGAGGGAAAATGTGGGCCCCATTATCAGCTGCCTGTGTCAGGTTGTATCGCTGACACATGGACTCAGGATGTGGCTAATCCGAGCTGATGGTGCTGTTGCTGCTGGATGGGAGGTGTTCTATTCTGACAACCTCTGACATATCCAGGGTGAAACATTGGACACAGAAGACCGGTCACTGCTTGGCCACAGATGTTCGGTCATCCAACACTGTCATCCAGCATGTTTCTGGAGCAGAAGATTGGTTGTAATACAGTAACTTCCTTGTGTCCTCACTGACCAAAACACACTTTATCTTCTTGATGGGAAAGTGGATCAGTGTCACTGTGTCAGCAAACCAGCTACCCACTGTCCTAACTGACCAAAACACTTTATCTTCTTGATGGGAAAGTGGATCAGTGTCTCAGCAGTGTTCAGGATAAGAACCAAATTTATTTCAAGAAATGTTTATTGTAGTTACCTTACAAGTCTTGAATTAGGTTTCTTTCACCAAAATGTTTTTCAAAAAATTATAAGACTCGGCACCATTTCTTCTGATGTTGATTAGATCATTGTCATGGAAAAAACAATTTTGGGATGTCTTTTCGTTATTACAAGGAACTCTGGACTCATTTTCTTTAATTTCCAAGTCCGATTTATGATTCTGGCAGCCTGATTGACCTGAAAAAAAAATATCTTCACTCTGGAATTTGAAAATATATATGTATGTTCATGTTACTTAGAACAAAAATATTCTTTGGAAGATGTGCCACCAGCTCAGAGTTCTAATTTTGGACCTCCTCAGTGTTATCCAAGGTTCAAAAGCATTGCACAGTTTTTGATGCAATATTAAAACCTACCTGTTCATCATCTCAACATAAATTGGACCTTTTGTTATAGCATCATTTGGGTATTTTTGTGCTAAATTAAAGATTTCCTTGAGGTGTGCCTATGTAGTTTTTAAATCTGGGGACCAAAAAATTCAAATATTAATATTATGGTTATGAGAAGGACCCTTTTACTTTCTATCTCTATTTCAAAGACTTGTCATGCTGGTTTTGGTCATTATTAATATTTTATCAGTCTTATGTGATCAAACATCTTCTGTTAAGCTTGTAAATTAAGGTACTGATAGCATGTTCCTGAAAGTACAAGCAATGTGAATTTTCCTCAGACAAGTGACTATTTACATCTAGAGAGCATGTTGCTGGATTTAATTACATTGATGGCTGTTAATGGTTCACTTCAAACTTCAATCAACGCAACAGAGTCATCTGTTCACTTTAATTTATTTCTTCAAATAGTCGCCATGGTTACTGCACTGAACTAATCCTTTTATCTTTTGTATTTGTTGACTCTGTAACCATGTTGTAAATATGGAAAAAAATGTGTTGACTGATGTTATTAAAGGAACAGGATTTAACAGGAAAAGTTCGTCAGTATTTTAGTTTATGTATATCAACCTGAGTTTCTTATCAAATAGCCATGTTTGTATAATGACTAAAGTTTGTCCATTATGAAATTGTTCATCAAACATTTCTGGACTAGATCAACTTCTCAGAGTAAAACCAAGACATCGTGTCTGGGATCGGGATTTATTCTCATTGTGTGCAAGGCATCTGTGGGTACAAAAAACGTTGCCCCCTAGCCTAATGCATGAGATTATATTCATGAGGTGGGGGAGGCAGTGACCCTGTTCGTCTAGTGACCTGAACACAATGCAGTTCACTTTGTCTACTCGGTCACTCTGAAGGAGCATTAATGAAGGCTCATTGTATCCATGCTACATAAAACACTCTGAATTCCTTTGAGACATACGCAGAGGTACAGATAAGCTGCGTATCTGCGTAAATTACGCAAATATTTATGCGAAAACTCAATTACTATTAAGTCTATAGCGTACAAGTACGCTTGAAATTTTGTAAATACTCAATAGATGTGATGTTACATGCATATACACAAAAGTGTCAAATCTTAGCTTGCGTACCGGTGGATAGATACAATAACTGACGTATTGAGAGGTTCTATTTCAGGACATGAACTTGGCAACTTGCAGTCTCTCTTATCGTTTCTCATATTACAGATCAAATATAAATAACAAACACTAACATTTAAACTTTATTATATTTTAACAATTAATGGAAAATGACAAAATACCCAATTGAGTTTGAGTGAGGTTGGTACAGTTTATTTGGTTATTCAAAGGAAAATTAGGATACCCAATTGACATGACCACAAGCGAGTACATAACTCAATGACCCAAAACGTTATCTGTAGCTCTGCATACGTTTTTGGAGACTTCGCAGATTTTTGAATATCAGAAAACATTGTCCTGCCCTTAAAAGCTTTTGTTAACACGTAAGGCTTGATCTGGGGGTGTCGCTGTCTCGAGTAAAGTAATTTGCGAGGTGCCTTAAATGGGTACCATTTACCAGTGTTTGAAATTGAGCATGAAAGTCAACAGGTTCTTGATTAAAACCCGAATTGTATCTTGAATTCCAAACTAAATGCCCAAGGCAGCCAATTTTTGATATGATGTTGTAACATTTATTTCACACCAACAGTGAAGTCATATAGATGCCTATGCTCAGAAGCCTTAGGCCTGTGTAATTTTGATGGGGTTTTAAGTGTTAGAGTGATGAAATGTGAATTTTAAGTATACACTGACTGACTGACCGAGTTGGGTTTTACACCGCTTTTAGCAATAATCCAGCAACATCACGTCGGGGAACACCAGAAATTGGCTTCACACATTGTACCCATGTGGGGATTTGAACTCGGGTCTTCGGCAGTGATGAGCCAACGCTTTAACCACTAGGCTACCCCACAGCCCCTTTAACTATACAGTATACCCTGGTTATAATGCCACCGTTTGTCCAGGAGAAAATATGACATTATATCCAGACTGGCATTATGACCTGGTAGGACAGTTAAGCGGCCCTATGCAATCAATAAGGTGATTGAGCTGATGTCTCCTGTAATGAGCCTTGAATGACTGGATAATCCCAGCGTCTAGGGGCTGCTGGTGTATTTATGATACCAACAATATAGAAGCCTTGTACAGTATCAGTGACTGAAAAGGTTGGATCTTTTTTCTGCTTTTATGATGCCAGGCATACCTGAAAAAGTTATGAAAACATTTAATTTTTTTACAACGAATGATCACGGTTTTTATGCTTATATGTGCTAGTGTGTGCAGTGTTTGTCTTTGGCCACATGAAATGAATAGCCTTATTAGAGGCAACAAGGAGTGCATCGCCTGTCACTGGAACCCTTTGGGTCATTGCTGGTATGCCCTAGCTTGTTTGAGTGTATATGAGATAGGTGATAGCATTGGGTAAATCTACATGTGACAGATGAGCTGATGTATGTGTTGTATAGTGACAGTTCTCCACCGATTCGTCACGCCGAAGACCCGGGTTCGATTCCCCACATGGGCGCAATGTGTTAAGCCCATTTCTGGTGTCCCCTGCCGTGATATTGCTGGAATATTGCTAAAAGCGGCGTAAAACTAAACTCAGTCAGTCAGTCTCCACCGATTGTTAGCAGACATAATTAGAGAGAACACACAGGCGAGGTCCACTGTGCCCCAGTACAGCTAGAATAATCATAGGCTGTGTGCTAGAAATTGAAATGCGGGTTGACAAGGAGTGTTGCTAGTTTTGGCTACCTGTCATTATTGAACACCTGAAGAGGAGACCACCTGGTGTTGTGAGCATGGCCCACCGCTCCCCACCCAACTGACCCTTCCTCATCCTTGTGCTCAGAATAAGGATAAAATCGCAGTTTTTAACAGGATTAAATTCCTAAATATGAATGTTATTTTGCAAGGTTAATTGATTTTTGAACACATTTATAAAAATAAAATTAATATGAATAATTGATACATATGAATTAAGCCATGTAAATATTTCTAGTCGATAATTGCTATGTGGCTTCTGTGGTGTTGGTTTACTTTGGTATTTCAGATTCACCGGAATGTGATCATTCTACAAGTTAGTAGATTTTTGTATCACTTGCCTTGTGGAGTGATTCGATGTGTTGTTGATACAATGGTATCTGTTCGCAGGGAGGAGGCATAATTCGTTCTACACGGCGCATGGCAGAAAGAATAGGTTTTGACATGGAGACTGGTATGCACATCAGGGAGGTCCCAAGCAAACATGATAAAGAACCTGTCATCCTTGAAGACAGTAAGGATCTTTTAAGAGTTCTTTACAATGTACATGTGGGTTACAAATTGGAATACAAGTACATTTATAAAAATATGTGATGTCAAAGTTTGGACCTATTTGTTTTCAGCAGGCACCTTCTTTGATTTTCCACTATACCAGGAGATAGTTGTTCAGCCATTGGTGCAGCTGGATTGATATGTGATATTGCTAATTGAGTCATCACAGTCCTTGAGTGTGTTGTCAGAGATCAAGGGTATGGGTTTACCAGAAAGACTTCAGTTGACGGCGAGGCTCGCTGACTTGGTTGACACATGGCATCGGTTCCCAATTGCGCAGGTCGATGCTCATGCTGTTGATCACTGGATTGTCTGGTCCAGACTCGATTATTTACAGACCACCGCCATATAGCTGGAATATTGCTGAGTGCGGCGTAAAACTAAACTCACTCACTGACATCTGGGCGATGGGTTAGCCCAGTAGTGAAAGCATTTGATCATCATGCTGAAGTTCTGGGTTCAATTCCCCATATAGGTACAATGTGTAAAGCCCATTTCTGGTGCTCCCGAACCGTGATATTGCTGGAATTTTGCTCAAAGTGATTTACAGTAAAACTCACTCACTTACATCTCCATAGACTTAAAGCAATACCATGTTGCTGGAATATTGCTAAAAGCGGAGTAAAACCAAACTCAGTCAGTCAATAATGCAATACCTTCTATAATGACTCGGGGCGGTGGGGTAGCCTAGTGGTTAAAGCGTTGGCTCGTCATGCCGAAGACCCGGGTTCGAATCCCCACATGGGTACAATGTGTGAAGCCCATTTCTGGTGTCCCCTGCAGTGATGTTGCTGGAATATTGCTAAAAGCAGCGTAAAACCAAACTCAGTCAGTCAGTTCTATAATGACTCAAGACATGTCGGGTGTTCAGTATTATTTTCTTCCACAGTTGACAGATTCATGCAGATGGACATCCGAGAGGGAATGCCCCTAGAGGAACAACTGAGAATCCTCCTGGACAAGATGGATGTGGCCAATACCATGCCTAGAGGAGGTAGGATTTGTTGTCTCTGTCTGATCAGAAATAAACTTAGGTATTCAGATCAATAATGGGATAACGGTACCCAGTAATCTATGTGGGTCATAACAGGTGATGTATCGCCATTGTGATTTGGCATCGTCCCTGAGGGGCGGGGGGGTAGCCTAGTGGTTAAAGCATTCGCTAGTCACGCCAAAGGCCCGGGTTCGATTCCCCATATGGGTACAATGTGTGACGCCCATTTCTGGTGTTCCCCGCCGTGATATTGCTGTAACATTGCTAAAAGCGGCGTAAAACCCAACTCACTCACTCACTCATCGTCCCTGATGGTGGATATTTGTTCATAATATTAGTCCTGGATTGTCTGGTTCAGTGATCGAGTTTGGTTTCACGCTGCTTTTAGCAATATTTCAGCAATATCATGGCGGGGGGGACACCCGAAATGGGCTTCACATATTCTACCCATGTGGGGAATCGAACCCGGGTCTTCGGCAAGATGAGCGAACGCTTTAACCACTAGGCTACCCCACCGTCGTCTGGTCCACACTCAGTGGTATATATGTTGCATCATTTAGCCATCATGGCTGTTTTTCATTACTTGTGTCTTACTGTGAGATTCAGTTTTCCTTGTCCTTTATTGGTAAGAAACATGAAAGTTAATAAATCTTGTGCCTTGCCTGATGTTTTTGTCGAATTTCATTACTATTCAGTTAATATAATTTTGTTTAATTGTGGCCAAGGGACAACATTTATATTTCATGATGACTTTCTGTTTTTGAAATATGATCATGACGCCCTGGAGCATTAATTAGGAAGAATTAATAATACAGACTTAGTTCTCTTTCAAAGTTTCTACTGAAGAAGCTCTGTCAAGGTACAGTCACTTGACGGTTTGCTTTCGGCAGGTATGCTGTCATTTGAGTTGTATACTTGTATTCATGTGTCAAATGCTGATTCTTTTCAGGTCGAAGGTCTAAATTTGCCAAAAGAATTAAGAAGGAAATATTCAAAGTGAGGAGAAAGTTGGCGTTACAAAAAGGACAATGTGCAATGGATGCTGCTGATGAAACAGGTTAGTACTTTCATACTGATGAGATGCTGAACTCTCACTTCTGTCTCAAGTCAGTCAGGTATTAATGGAATTCTTATCTTTGTTCTAACCTTGTAAAAAAGGTTACCTGTCATCGTCATCATCATCATCATCAATGAAACTTTCCTTCAAGTGCAACTGAAAAAAAAATCATATCTTTGTTGTAACCTTGTAAACAAGGTTCCCTATCATCATCATCATTCATCATCATCATCATCATCATCATCATCATCAACATCATCATCATCATCATCATCATCAACAAACAGCATTTGTCAGTCATCCTCAATGAAACATCCAAATGCAGCTGATATTCTTGGATTAATCTTTTGCATATTATTATCATGTTAAATAATCTGTTCTGTTGGAGTATCGAAACTGTAATATGACAGTTTAAACACTGCATTAGATTGCCACATTATACACTAGACTTGTGTTGCAGTCCTACATATTCCTGTTTATTGCTTTTCATTTCTGTAGCATCATCAGAAGCTGCTTCTGCAGAAGAGTGTGAGAGCCAGCCAGTTTCTCCAATGAGATACCCCAGTACTTCCACACCTGGCCGACCATCACTCAAAGACAAGCTCGCTGACAAGCCTACTCCCAAACCAGCTGGGCGAGGCACACCGGGCAGACCTCCAGGGCGAGGCCGCGGGCGGGGCAGACACCGGGCCCAGAGTACAAGGAGTGAATCTGACCAAGTAGACACACCTAAACATCAGGCAGGTATGCAGTACTACTAGGATCAGATCGTAAGAACTCTATTATACTTTTTTGAGGCACGTAAGGACTTGGTTTGTTGCTGATGAGGATGGATTACAGTCAGGAGGATGAGGGTAGTTTTAGACCTGTAGGTACAATTCACTATTATAGGACGAAGTAATAGCACTGTGTTTAATAAGTATGTATGGTTGGGTTTTTTGGTGAGGTACAGCAGGTATATTGTTTTGAGTGGATCAAATTAGAATCAAAGTGATGCTATTTAAGCCTTTAACTGCAAAGGTTCCAAGCAGTTCTAATAGAAATTATATTTTGTTTTTGTTTTTAGGGGACAAGCAGCATAATGCGGAGACGGGCAAGTTGGGCTCCCACCACCAGTCCCATGCAGATATGAAAGGGACCACGACACCATCACCGTCTCCATCGGGGGTCAACCGGCGCACTGCTGTTTTGTTGAATAGTAAAAAAGCCCGTAATTCTTCTTCCAATGCTTCTACACCTTCCACGCCTACACAGCCCCGAAAAGGCCCTGGTCGGCCACCCAAAAACAGACCACCACCAGAACCTGTATCCCCTAGGTCGCCTGTGCTGGAGTCCTCGTCCGGTAGCCGCGGGCCGGCTAGCCCCTCTACAGGGGCGCGGAAGCGATCTGCCAGCACAGGAGCTTCCCACTCTGATGGTCGTCCTTCACCCCCGAAGAGAGCCCACTCAATGACTGAAACATTACCTTCCCTAAGCGAGAGTAGCCACATCCCAACTAAAGCAAGTTTCCAGGTGTACCGTGTCGGAAACATCCGCAGTTCCTCTGAGTCCGAGAGCACCTCTGACCTGAGCAGTGGCGACGAAGAGCTGTCTGACAGCTCGACGGCAAGCTCCTCCAACAACAGCAGATCAGGTGAGACTTGAACCTGTGGCACATTGAGTCAGGCCTACCACTGCCTACCTGCCTATCCACTACCCACTACCTTCCTATCTACCTAACTGTGAATGACAACTAGCTACCTCTGCAGGCAGGCCTGCTCTCTTGCTCTACATTAACTGCCTATCTTGGACGTCCAGCCTTATAGAAGCCAGCTGACATAGGGCAGTTTTACTAGCCTGGATCGACCGTAGTGCATGGCGTCTGTCCTTGCCGCAATATGATCACGTGCATTGTCCATCTTTCTTGTCACCCCATCTGTTTGTAACAATTCAAATCATACCCAGTGCTTTGTGTTTTCCTACATATATATATCATTATTTTAAAAATTATTTATTTATTTTAGAAATTATGCGTATCTATTTTTTCCACTTGTTTTTTTCGCGTTATTTACTTGTTTGGTTGTTGCTTTTACATGCTTTTTGTTCATGGTTCTGTTTGAAGTAAAAATGCATACATTCATTTTGCTAACTAAAAAGCAGTGTGCCAAGCTTTCTGAAAAACCAACTCTGATACTCATATTTTCAACTTTTCCATGCTGCAGGGAAAATGTGTGTTCTGTGAGTAAGACCGGACTTTGTAAAACTGGGCAGAAAGTCGCTGCCTCTGCTGCCGCAGATCCTGTCACTAAATATTGTAATTTTTATTCATGGAAATGAACAAATGTAAAGTTGCATGGAGTTGTTGTTCTTTCAATATTTGAATCCATTTGCATAATACATCATTTTGGCTTGATGCTGATGACGCACAATAGCCTATACGAGACTCTACACTGGCAGCATGCATTTCATGGTTTGGGTTTGGTATGAAAAACTGTTCTCAGGTGAACTAACAATATGTGGTCGGATCTTTAGGGTAACATTTTTGGTCTTTGAATTTGGGATTGGTATATTTGCTGTCATGGAGGTCAGACATGCTTTTGGTTTCTTAATTTCATTTTCATTGTTTTTTATTATTAGCCCTAATGAGCTGCACATTGTCTATATTTTTCCCTGCACTATGTGTTGTGTGGTAAGCTGTACTGCTTTTGTAATGTGTGTGGCACACTCGCTTTTAATTGGATAATTGGTTAACCTGCTTGTTTTGTTATGACATTCACATAACCTGAACACTGACTGGTCACACGTCAAACATTGTTTAATTTGAACTTGTAAACCTTGGGGACCGATCATTTGAATTTCTGGTGGGTGAAGAATTTTGATGCAGTGTTTCAAAAATCGTTTGAGAACATGTTCAAGTAAAAAAATATGTGGCTCTTATTTTTACACACCAAAAATCCTTGACATCATATCCTGAGATTGGGGTCTACCGCGTATGAAAACTTAAGGAAATGCTGGAAAAAAAGGATTTGGCATCAGGAATTACCCAACATATAACACCAACCATATTGGACGTATCCTGAAAATATGTGTTACAGTTTTGAAAATATATATATATTTGGTCTCTTTTCAGAATTCTTTTTGTATGTCTTTATTCATTGGCATAAGTAAATAACTCAAATGATAATCCCATTCATATTTCGGAACTAATTAGGGGCGGTGGGGTTGCCTAGTGGTTAAGGCGTTCACTCGTCACGCCAAAGACCCGGGTTCGATTCCCACATGGGTACAATGTGTGAAGCCCATTTCTGGTGTCCCCCGCCGTGATATTGCTGGAATATTGCTAAAAGCGGCGTAAAAAAACTCACCCACTCACCCGGAACTAATTATATTTGGAATAATTATTTATTTGACTTTGTGGGAAGGGTGGAATAAGGCTTTCTGAAAATCCCGAACAATGTTTGAAGTGTGTCCAGCATATGCTTAATCAATGGCATGGTTTGATTGTGCTTGCTTCCCATCTTTCCTTGGTGCTGTGTAGAGGATAATTCTGACGCGACTGAGAACAGCAACGGGCAACGAGATGGGCCTGACCTTGAACTTGGCAATTGGAACGGCATGTCGGGTAGCTCTCCTGCTTCTGCTTACAGCACATCCAACTCCCCTCCTCAATCCTCTTCCGCCCAGCATGCAGGTAGGCATGGTACATAGGCTACGTAGCTACTTGACATTAGATACGTGCACTTTTAAATGCTCTCTTGCCAACTCAGTGGTCTGCAGAGGTAGGCCATGCTATTTGTTGCCTTGTTTTAACTTGGAGGGCTTCCATGACAAACAGTCCTGTTTTTCAACTGTCACACATTCTTTCTAGTCTGTTCTATAGAACCTCATCTTGCAGCATCTTGTTTGAAATGGACCATTCTATATACTAGCTTTTATTGACTTTTATTGATATACATTTTTCTTGTATTTTTATATTGATTAATGGTTAAAAAAATGTGTGGTTGAAATCATGACATGTTTGATATCTGGCAAAGGAAGGAGGAAAAGGTGCTATGCTTTGTGTTAAAACAAATAATAACACAGTGCAACTTGTTGAATCATGTATTTTCTTGTGCATAAATGTTTTGTATTTTTTAACCTTGACACCTAATAATTGAAGGAAATATGCTAGAAAAGTATGTGATGGCCAATTTATTTAGACGGAACATGCAGGCTTTTGCTGTTTTGCTTGGATTTCGCTTTACACAACCCTGCCTGCTGACTAGTTTTCATCCATTGTCATTCATGAATACATTTATGGATCTGTTCTGTCTGAAAAAAGAACCTATAACAAACAAAACACCAATAGAAAAACTGAAGTAAGATTGAAAGTGGTTGTAGCTAAAAATCTATTTGGGATATCATTTTAGTCTATATTAGTCTAAGTAAATGCTAATCCAAGACAAGGAGTCTTTCTGCTCAATTTTGGCTATGATGCCTACACATGAAGATCGGGTTTGAATTGATCTTCAGTAACCAATACTTGTCGTAAGAGGCGACTAACAGGATCAGGTGGTCAGGCTTGCTGAATGGGTTGATGTATGTCTTCTTATCACAGGGGTGGAAATAACCCATTGCCCGACGCCCGAGTCCAGTGTTTTTTTCTGTTGGGCAAGCAAATTTGTATATCACACTGTACCGGTGTCCAGTTGACTTTCAAATATTAATTATGTTGTTTATTTAAAAAATCAACAAGAAAATGGCCGGTATAGTGGAAAAATTATCAGGGCAAGTGATTTTACATGTGCCACTGTACCGAGTACACTAGCAATTTTAAAGTTATTTCCACCCCTGATATCCCAACTGTGGAGTCTGGTGAAGACTCGATTATTTACAGACATCATATAGCTGGAATATTGCTGAGTGCAGCGTTAAACAACAAACAAACAAACAAACAAGCTTTGGATGCCATACCAGTCTAGGTCAAGATGTTTCAGTCTGTTTCAGAATAATTGTTTCATCATAAACTGTTCAGCTTGTATATGCTACTCAATAGACATTAAAGAACACTTGATTCTTTCATAATAGTTTATATGTCATGCCATGACTGATTAACCATTGTAATGTGAAAGAACCAGATGTTCTTTAATTTCTTCTGAGAAGTGTAGATGTAATGGGAGGCTGCTGATAAAATAAGGTGTTTTGCATGGATTGTTGGATTACCACTTTGCCAGACCTAAGTCTCATTGACAATGTAACAGTATTCTCAAAATTTCACTACAATGAGTGAGTGACTATAGTTTTACGCCGATTTTAGCAATATTCCAATATCAAGACACGGGACTCCAGAAATGGGCTTCACACATTATACCCATGTGGGGAATCGAACCCTGGTTTTTGGCATGACGAGTGACCGCTTTGACCATTAGGCTATTCCACCGCCCCATCACTACAATGAGGTGTCTTGGCTTTGATATTTTGATATGCACTCAGTGGAACAGTCTCTCCTAATCTATAGTGTTTAAGCCCACAGTTATGTATCTAAGGGAAAATCCACTTGGAGTGGAAATGCGCTTACTGCTCTGAACGAGACGTGGTTGTGCTTTAGTCTTCCAGTCCATGCATGAAAGTGGTAGCTGGGGAGGAAGTGTGAGAAATGGGGTAGTTAATTAGCAGTGCAAGTAGGGCACCATCTTCCTATTGTTGGGGGAGTTGGTCTACACAGCCACTAGGTCAAATCCGTCTGAAACTCTGATCACCATGACTCTTGAGACCACATGATGATGATATGAATTTAACATCCCTGAGTACATATGGACGGACCCGTGAAGGTCCGGGTTAGAATTGGTCTTGATAAGAGGCGTGAGGCGACTAACTGGATCAGGTTGTCAGACTCTCTGACTTGGTTGACACATGTTCCCAATTGTGCAGATTGATGCTCATGGTGTTGATCACTGGATTGTTGTCTGGTCCAGACTCGATTATTTACAGACCGCCGCCATATAGCTGGAATATTGCTGAGTGAGGCGTAAAACTAAACTCGCTCACATATGGACAGTGAGGTATTCTAGTGGTAAAAGTGTTTGCTTGTCTTGAGAATGACCCCAGTTTGATATCCCAAAATGATATTGTTGGAATAATGCCAAAGCAGTGTAAATATACTCACACCTGTGGTTTAAAGTTCAAAAGTTATAGATAATAAAAGAAAGATTTTAGAAATTTTGACCAAAGAAATTTATGTGCAAATTTTGAGAATTACAGTCTTTATGGATGATCAACTTCTAAATTGTACAATAACGACATTTCGGTATAGATACTTATCTGTTATCAAGTAAATTTTGATACCACATCTCAGTTGGGCCTTGATACTTCTGAAAGTATTTCTATTTCTTTCGGAGATGCCTTGTCTGTAATTTAGGGTGAAGCCACAATTTTTTATGTGACATAAGTTACACTTTATCTATCAATACAAAAATACTGATTAGCAAAATGCTTTTTAAAACCGAAACCAACTTCAAAACTTATTTCAAAGTATCTTTTGATGTTTTATCCATAATTATTTGCAAAATTATCTTGATCTTTGATGTAGTTGATTTAATAAGAGGTTTGGTATGTTAGCATCATTAGTCTGTTATCTCTGGAAAACTTTTTTGTAATATGTTATGAATTAAAATTTTGTTTAATGATGGTCGTAAAACTAAACTGGTATTGGAAATAGTTTGGTATGACCTTAAAGCAAGTTGCTTGGCTACTTCAGCTGCTGAGGTCAGATATATTTATGATTTTGATCATTATAAGTGACATCAAGTCTTAGTATTGATATTTTAGACTTACACCTGTTCTTATATTAGTCAGGTGTTTGATGTGCTTAACTGAATACCTTACCTGTCTTAACAGCCAAGAGAAAGAAAAAAGAAAGCATTAAATTAGGCTCGGATCTCACAGAGGAGGATCTTTTTATCAGAAGAACAAGGAACCGATCCTATGATCAACAGGTTTATAAAAGCACAGTTATAAACTCAGCCTTGAATAAAAGGAAGTCTGTACGGTTTGACTTAAACTACACATCAGAAGAACGTACAAGTAATCAAGTCAAAGAAATTAAGTTGGTCCAGTATATAAGAGAATCAGGTGGTAATAAACTTGAAAACAGACCTGCAAGTAAAAGATGTGGAGAGGGAAAGTATGAAAGAGAACTTGGTGGTCATAAACTTGAGACCAGAAGTTCGAGCAAACGATTTAGAGAGGCAGAATGTGGAAGAGAATCGGGTGGTAATAAACGTGAGACCAAAAGTACAGGAAAGAGATGTAGAGAGTCCCAGAATCAATGTTCCAGCTCTGTAGGAGGTACACAAGTACACACTAGGGCCACACACAAGACGCTACTGGTAACCAGTGTTGACTTTACTGGGTCAGACCTCTTTGAGGTATACACACATCAGGGTTCTTCACAGAGAGAACAGTGTCATGGAAACATTCCTGTCATGACACGAACCAGGGCTGGAAGCAAGGGAGCAGGCTACTCCTCAATGCTACGTAGTCGGGACAAGAACTGTAATTCTGCCAGGGAGATTAATCAAAGTGACACTGATGCTGTATTCAAAGACTGTATGGGAGCAATGGCAGTCGAAGGTTGCATTGTATCAGCTGTACACGAAGACATCATTGAGAGCTCTGATGGTGACGAGCTGAGTTCTGGGAGAACAGGATCTCCTGCTGGAAAGGCAAAATGTCCAGCCTCTCTCGGAGAACTGTCAGGCTTTGCTAGCTCTTCTGGCAGATGGGCGACTGCTTGGGAGGGCAAACTGCACCAGTCACACAACCTCAGGTTTTGTCACCAGCTGTGGTAAAATGTTGAAGTTTGGGTTATTTTGTTAAAGTTCATTAAATATTTTTGTGAATTTGTTCATTCAAGGAATTTATTTTTATTTGCAACTAACATAGATTTGGGTTACATTTTTGCGTCTTTGAGTGGTGTAAACGGTTCTCAAGTTTTCATACACATTATGTACTCAGGGTTGAAAATACCTGGAACAAGGAGTCTCTACTAGGCTAATGGTGCCTAATTACTGCTGATTCCTGAAAACACGGAATTTAAACAAACTGACAGATTAGTCAATTTATCAAATCTTCTGAAGATTACGATCATGGTTTCATGTAGAGATTACACCAATGCCAACGCTACTAGGAACACTGTTTACAATTAATGTGGCCAGCTGCTACTAATGAATAGCTTTACTAGCAAAAATAGCAAGTTTGACAACTCCATCTTTCTCTCGCTATCTACAGCTGTAGTGAGAAGACCTTTTCTGTTATCAGTGTAATGAAGTGTACTACCAGACAAGGTGAAAAGTATAGGCCACCATTAAGCACTGTCTGTCAGACATAAGTTACGCTAATTTGAGAACTGCAATTATCCACAGATAACATTAGGAGTGGAAAAATGAAGAAAGCTTTTCTCTTGTCCGGATGTTCCTAGAATATTCATGTTTCTAGTCTTCTAGACTTTAAATGTTATGTTTTCAGTTATGTTCATTGTCTGTTACCATGATTGATCAGAGCTTGTTTATTAGAGAGATCTTAGTGATGTGACTTCGGTAAACTTATGTTAAAATATGGAGTTAAAACCATTTTGGCACTAAGATCACTTTGTGGAAGTGTACCTGGAACCCAGGGCCGCGCTTCACAAAGCAATCGTTGCGCTATGACTCTCGTATCTCCTATACTTTAACATAAGAGTTCTGACGGTCATAGCGCTAAGATCGGTTGTGAAACAGAACCCTGTTCCACAAAGCAACCAGAGCACTACGATAGTTGTAAGTCAGTATTGAAGAATGTGATTAGCTATCATCTTAGCACTAAGATTGTTCAGTGCAAGTTGGCCTAGATCTTCACAGGAGATGATATTGAAGATACTGTGAGGTGTATGATAAGACTTCTGATAATATTGATGGTGGATGTGTCGGCCTTTCTTATTACACACAATCAGACAAATCTGTTGAATAAAACTTCAGACAATGTCCTGATTGACTGATCTCCAAGAATAACCTACATGGATGACCTTTCTGGGATCAAGATAACCGTCAGATTACCCAAGCATCGGTTGCTTGTGACTTTGAGTGAAGAGATTCCTTGTGTTATCGTTCTGTTTGATTGTTGGATTCCTTGAGTGTTAATGTTAGTGTTTTGTTGGGTGAAAATATTTGAAGTTTTGAACAAAGATAAACGGAAACCATAATTTTCAATAAAATTGTGATCAGTAAATTTCAGTTTTAATAATATCATTTAATACAATTCTATTGATTGTAGGTGTGTTTTAACTGCCAAAAGAAGACAAATTGGTATAAAAATGAAGATTAAAAGTACTGGTTGATAAAACTTCATATTTCAAAAACTACACATAAAATAAATCATAAACATTTAGATATTTCTTTTATAACCATTTATATAAATATTTCTGAATGTTAATGTGGCTTAAATTCTGGTGAAAATTAAGTGAAGTGTAAGACTCTATGTTATAATGTTACATGGGAATATTGAGAACAATGTTGGGGTGAGGGTGATGTCACATTCCAGGCAAGGAGAGGAATATTGGGCATGCCCCATTCTAAGTATAAACAGTAACAGGGGAACAGTGTAGACTTGGTGAAGTCATGCACAGATATAGACAAACTTAAAACAAGGAAGGGTAAAAATGCATACATACATGATCTGATAATGGAAAAAAGAAAGCTATCTACATCCCTAAGATGCAGTCGTTGCTGCTGAATCTAAATCTACAGAGACTACAGATAGTGACAGCAATGGAATGTTCATCATCTGACAACATGCCTGACCGTGAGTTTCTTCTCCCACAGCTCGCCCCAGACGAAGTCCCAGCTTTGAATCTGATGATGTGATTGCCCTGGAGCCCCTTGACCTGGTGTGGGCCAAGTGTCGCGGATATCCCTGGTACCCTGCACTGGTGAGTTCTGTCAACATTCTTCTGTAAACTAAATTCACTTGCGTAACATGTCATTGTTTCCAGGGCTGTCCGCAGGGTCATGTTATGTCTGGGGCAGCCATCTGTTATGAGCCTTTATCCACCAGCTTAGGTCTCAAGTATGTTGAGTGGAATGACACAGGACACTTCCTGGGGTTATTCCAAATGATTTCCTACTCTTGTAAATTTGCTTTGAGTGAAGGAGAAACTCCAGCATTTATGAGGTCTTGAACTAGTTTAGGTGTAATATGTGATTATGTATTTGGAAAATAGTCTATAAAATATCTACTTGAACATTCAACATATAGCATTGATTATCAGCTACAATAGGACCCTGGTATCCATCAATGATTGGGTATAATGTGTGAAGCTCATTTCTGGTGTCCCTCACCATGATATTGCTGGAATATTGCTAAAAGTGGCCTAAAACCATATTCACTCACTCACTCAGGGTGTTACGGGACGCAAGATTCCTGTGTATTGGACGCAGAAATTTGGTGAAGTACCCCCAAACTAAATTCCTGTGAGTCCTTGTGGACACAGTATATTTTTTTTCTGGGAAAGAACTTTCTGAGTTTGTAATGACATCCCATATTAATGTGTAAACATTTTATTTACAGTCATTATTCTAATGACATTGAAAGTAACACATATCATAACATAATCATTATCAAATGGGAAGCATCCATTATCATTGATTTCATGCAAATTGATTGACTCCCAATTTTGGACATGGACTCTCAAAAAAGTATGCCCTGAGTCCCCTGGACTCCTAGTTTCGAAGAGCTATGTAAAACCTATCACTCAAAGATTGGCTTGTCATGTAATATATGTTCACAGTATCAACCACTTGGCTACCTTACTTGGACCAAATTTGATTGGATGCAATGAGACTGATGAATTTAATTTTCACTCAGTCAGTCTTACAACTTCAAATTCAAAATTTCAGTGATTATTCATGGTTTAGAATAGAATTACAATTATTTTCATTGTCGGCTGATAATGTTGATGTAAATTCTAAACATCAACAAATACCGAAACACATTTTTAAGAATCTTTGAAATATTCCTGACTATATTCTGTGAACATTTGTAGTATACCCTGTCCTAGGTTGTAAACAGCATGGCTTCCCCAAACACCAGCATCACCTCATTCTACAACCAAGCTAGTCTGACCTCTAAACTAACTACTTGTATCACCTATACTCCCTTTGATCTCACTTGGCAGATTATAAACACCTTGCTAGAACACAAGTCAAAAGGGCCTGGTCAAAGCCACTTTGTCTGATTTTAGCACTGGGTTCACCATTGACTTTGAGTGCTGGTACAGCAATGGCTTGTGCCCCCTGTAAGACTGCTTGTTGAAATTACTTGAGGTACTAAAATAGACAATAATCTGCATTAGATCAGATGATTTGCAGATAACACAAGTGCCACCCAGAGGGACAATTAGAGATTTGGTGATAATCTCTACTTTGCAATTACACAGTATGGCTGTTTACGTTTCCTGCTTGCACTACATCTGGTAATGTGATCTGACATTTTTGGCATAACTTTTGTTAGTTGGTGGTTTCTTTACTTGAGTATGTGTCAGGATGGTTATAAACAAGCCATGTCTTTAGTTCAGAGCTGTGTGTTACACTCACAAACAAGTTCTCCATTACAAGCCCTTGGTCTACTGTTGAGTCTGTACCCTGTGACCTGCCGTGTCCCCTGTTTTCCTTATGCTCCATAATGTAATGTATTTTGATGCCCTCTGTATTGTTAAATGATGAGGAACTTGTTTTTCATTCCTGTTCCACATCTTGAGGTATTTTTGTCTCGTTTCATTTTCTGCATGTATTTTGCAGGTATGTGTGTTAAAGTCTTTCCGGTCTACCAGACAATTTGGTTAATTAGATTCCGTTGTTTGAAATATATTTCTGAACATATACTCTTTGCTAGCAACCACAAAACATGGCTCTGTAATTACTTGCTGTGCTCAGCTTATTGGCAATATGTCCAGGACAGAGAAAACCAGTTGCTCTTTCAGCAATGAATGTACTCTTTAATGACCGCCTCCGTGGTGTAGTGGTTAGAGCGTCCGCCCGGAGAGCAGAAGGTCGCGGGTTCGATCCCCGACCGCATCATACCAAAAGACGTTAAAGTATGACACTTGTTGGTCCCTGCCTGGCGTTCGGCATTAATGGGTACAAGAAGGACTGGTCGGCTCGGAGTCAGTATAATGTGTCTGAGTGGGGTATTCCTGCTTCACTGCGGCATGGTATCTCAGGGGGCTATCACTATAAAACCAGCTTCAGTCTGGGCTAGTCCAAGCAGCCACACATACACATACACATGCATGCACGTCGTCATATGAGCGAAATATTCTCAAGCACGACGTAAAACCCAATTTCACCTCACCTCACTCTTTAATGTTGATGGACGTTCATGATGGAGTAGACTAGTGGTTATGTATCAGTTTGTCATGAAGGAATTTTGGGTTTGATTTCACATGTTGAAACAGTCATCATCTAAACTGATTTGGTATTCTTACCATGGCCAGCAGAAATAACACAATGCTCACTGTTGTGTATTGTTGGTGCTTTAGTGGTTAGTAGTTTGGTGCTGGTGGTAGTGAAGTCTGTGTATGTTCTCTTCTTTTCAACACTATCAAAGAGAGGTGTGGTAGCCTTGTGGATAATGTGTTCACAAGTGCTGCCAAAGGGCTGGGTTTGATCCCCACATTAGACCAATGGTGTCTGGTAAAACTGGAACACTGGTAAAACAAGAAGAGCAGCATTAAACCTAACTCTTAATCACTTAATACTAGCTGCCGAACTTGTAAGTCGGTTACAATATTAAAAAATATTTCCCTGTTGAAACAAAAATGTACCCCATTTGATCTTGCTGCCAAGTTTTGTTGAGTCAAGTTTATCTCAAAGTTTATCTTGCTGTCATTGCCAGAGTATCAGGGGTGGAAATAACTTTAAAATTGCTAGTGTACTCAGGTACAGTGGCACATGTAAAATCATTTGCCCTGATAATTTTTCCACTCTACCAGCTGTTTTTTTACATAAAGAACATAATTAACATTGGAAAGTCAACTGGACACCGGTACAGTGTGATATACAAATTTGCTTGCCTGACAGAAAAAAACACTGGACTCGGGCGTCAGGCAATGGGTTATTTCCACCCCTGAGTATTCCTAGGAAGAGCATAAAACCATACTTAAAGACCTACGGTATATGACCTTAGATAAGCTGAATTTTGAGGACCAGAATATACAGTCTGTAGAAAGGGGTTGGCTTGTCTGAACATCTTTCATGAAACTTTTTTTTTATGATGGTTAAAAACGCCATCATATGGCTTCATGTGTAATCTGTTTGTTATAGCTCAATCCTCCCTTTTCTTTACCAGATAATAAATCCCAAGATGCCAAAGACTGGCTATTTCCATAATGGTGTCCCCATCCCAGTCCCTCCTGAGGATGTTCTCAACCTGCAGAAATGCTATGATGAAACAGTGTACCTGGTTCTCTTCTTTGACACGAAGCGCACATGGTGAGTTGACCTTGATTTCTATTTGGCAGTCATACAAGTACTGACTGAAAGAAATAACTGGAAGAGTTTGGGACCGGTTCTTCGGTGAACCTCCAGTTTTCTTTCAAACAGGATTGACTGGTGGTTATCTTGTTGACAAACCTGACTTGTTACAAACTGACAGCATACACTGTTTTTGATTCAGTGATGGTGTTCTATATTAAGTCATTATGAAGCAGCAAGTGCAAATGCTTCTTTTATCTTCCATCAAAGATTTTCATGGCCGTATCAACAGTTTTTACTTACATTTCTAAGCTTAATTGCATACCAAGCATTTGTTACATTTTCAACATGTTAGTCACCGGTTTTGAATGCTTCATCTGTAAAGTGCAGTAAGATCACCCTTTTTTATTTCTTGATTTAAAGAACTAGAAATTGTAACGGATTAATAAGTATTATGTGTATTTAACAAAAAATCTGATGAAACATAAAACTCAAAGCCACACAGGGCCAAATGCATGACATTCACAAATCGGCGTGCATTCTATGCTCCCCGGGGATTATGCATACACTCCTAGAGATTCCTGCTGTGGGCTAGAGACTAAGAGAGTTTTGCCAATCACTTCCTAGTGGGAATCAGTTCAGTAGTGGTGAATAAAAGTATTTGAAAAGATGGCACTTGTTCAGAATAAAACCTTGTGTCAGGCAGGCATCCGTTTCTTTTATATCATTACTCAGCATGATCGTATGAAATGAGTTTTAGATGTTTTGGAAAAAAATTGTAAGATCACAGGAATACTACCGGACAAGTTTAATGCAACAAATACCTGGTTAGGAGGGATTATTTTTATGGATGGACCATTTCTTTAATTTAATGAGAGTGAGGTTCGGTGTAGGTTCTAACACTGTTATCAAGCAAGTGATAAAACCTGCACTGAAACGTCACTCTCTGCAATATTAAAAGTTGTTCATCCGTGTATTGTTATCTTTCCATTCTGCCTAAATGCCTCTCAAAGAAAATACTTGGTTATTTTGTGTCGTTGAGGTTGATTTATATAGAAATGAGGATAAGTGGTTCCCTCAGAGTACAACCTGATGCCTATTTCCAGTGTAGCCTATACCAGTATTGCTGGAATATTGGTAAAAGTTGACTGAAACAATACTCACTTGCTATTTTCTTTCCAGGCAATGGCTGACCCGTGGTAAGCTTGAGCCATTAGGAGTCGACTCCAACCTGGACAAAGCCAAGCTGACCGAGAACAAGAAGCCAAATGTTAGAAAAGCTGTCCAGAAAGCATACGAAAAGGCAATTGTTCATCGCTGCAGTGTCAGCGGGGAGCCCAACCCCTTGTCAGGGGATTCCAGCTCTGAGGATTAGTAGGCCAACGAGGATGTAGGCGAACATGTTGACATAATGTGTACACTTTTTATGCCAGTCATAATGAATGAAAGAGACCGAGAGAGAGGGTTGTTGAGACGAGTGAGGAGAGAGAGTGTGTGATATATAGTTACGAAGACAGTATCTGGTGGTTTTATACAGTGGGCTTGGCTTCTTCACTGCCATTAAAAGAAGCATTTTCCACATCAAAGACTTTGCTGGTGGTAATATTGACAGCTGTTTTTTTGTACAGTAAGAGCATTTCATCTCGGCATCTGTTTATCAATTCATCAGGGCTTGTCATTGTCGTATTGTTGTCGTTTACAGTGCTTTTTCATTCATCTCTATTCAGATTTTATCCATTTGTTCATCACTTTACCATTGCCTTATCACAGTGTCAAATACCATTGATCTGTTAGTGAACTACTTGTGTTTTATCAGATGTCTTCTGTGTTTTATGCTTGGCATTGACTTGTTATCAACTCATGGACTGATCACAATGATCATTCACCTGGTCCAGTCATCCAGTGCATGCACTGTACCGATAAACTTTATTGTAGATCTTTTCATTTACAAATCTGTACAAGTTGTTTGCTGTTATCATAGCAGTGTTTATATGGCCCATGAAAGGTTGCTGTTCCTTTTATTATTTAAAGGATTAAAATATGAGAATAAGATCATTAACAATTGTCCTGTGTTTACTTGTTTCATTACTGTTAGTGAGTGAGTGAGATTCAGTTTTACAACGCTTTAAGCAATAGTAATATCACGGTGGGGGACATCAGAAATGGGCTTCACACATTGTACCCATATGGGAGGATCGAGCCTGAGTCTTCGGCATAACATGCAACCGCTTGTACCACAATGCTACCTTACTACCTCGTTGGAGCAGTGATCATTAACAAAGAGACAGAAGCTGAAATAAGATTTTTGGCGCTATGAAAGTGGTGCTTTCATGAAGTGTTTCGAACCACAGTATTTCATTAGTAGTTTACGGTCACAATGAGCAATATTCCAGCTACGGAAGAGGTTTAATGTATAAGTAATTGAGTCTTGAGGAAAACCAAGTTCTATGGATAGTCAACTTCTTTATTGCAATGAGTGCGACGTTTCCGTGTAGGTACTAACAACGTTAGAAGCAAGTGATCACTTGCTTGATAACAGCGGTTAGTACATACACCGAAAGGTCGCACTCATTGCAATAAAGAAGTTGACGTTGACTATCCATAGAACTTGTTTTTCCTTCACCTATACAACTTCTAAAATGCCTCTCGAAGAAGTTAAGAGTCTGGACCAGACAAACCAATGATGGATATATTGTTTGTCAACGTCCAAGGTCATGGTGACCAACTATCGAGAGTCAGTAGGTCTGCCCACCCGATCCTTTTTGCCATATTCTGGGACAACCACAGGCTGCTTGGCAACCATTCCAACCGTGGATTCAGGCAGATGTTCAACCACACCAGCATTGCCTGCCGGGGGCGAATTCTCACCGGCCGTCTCCAGGGGTGCACTAAGTTATGGTATCACAACACTTTGAACTTTAATACTTCAAAATGGACAGACAGTAGTCAAAGTATTGTGGTCACCGAAAGACAGGTGACCCCGGCAATGTCCAAGGGGTTTGGACAAAAGATTCGCCATTTATGCACACACCCTGGGCGAATTCTTCAGTTAACTTCCAATATAATCTTCAGACAACGAAGCCTCGGTTTTCAAAGGTTTAAGATTTGAAAATCTGAGGTCTAACGAGCTAGTCAGCAAGTTTCAAATTTGAAGTTAAAGGATCAATCACACGGGTCTATAATGCCCTAAGTGACTCCCGAAATTAAACCGGTTGGTATCTAGAACTTGAAGAATGTGGGAAATGTGAAAAGACGAACGTTTGTGGTTCGTGGCAGCACTGAGCAATATCAACGCTCTCCGAAGAGAGCCTGTTTTCACGAATTAGTTATTAACCTGTTAAGTGCACCGTTCCACGCCGAATGTTCGTTGACACGCAATCAACGAAGTCGTGTCTGATTATCGAATCCGTTCAGCCATCTTCGGTCAACCCCAACGACAAGGAAACGATTTTTGGCAGCGTTTCCGTCCTGGAATCCACTGGGGTTTCAACCGGATGTACGTCATGCGTTAGTGAGGTAATAAAACCTATTGTTTTCCGGCACATATACAAAGTAATAACAACCCGGCACGCTTGCACAAAACGTTATTAGCCCTATGAACAAAATAGCTATTTGCTTCAGTACTTTTACTTCCAGTCACTCCCTAGTGTAAATGTTAAGGTACTTGTGTTCTAAACACTGCCACCACACACGTGTATAATGTGTGCTTGCGAAATGTCATCCCCATTAATCACAAGGAACGTCATGAATTATAAGTGGATTCTTATCGCAGAAACCCCGGATTGAAACCTTTTATAAACAGACCATTTGATGTTCGTCAAAAAAAGTTTATTAAGTACAAGAAAAGCATTTTGCTTCAGGTTATTAGAAATAATTATAAAATAGAAGCGACAAAACCATTGCAACATCCATAAGAAATCTCTTCTAAAAGCAGAGTCGACTGTACAATTCTGACTACATCATGAGAATGTGTTTGTTTCATCAGTTTTACAGCTGTACGATGTTTGTAAACAAATGACTCTGGACCAGAAAATCCAGTGATTGTCACCATGCGAGAATGTCTTTTAAAACTATTTTTCTGTTCCTCGAACAGAAAACAATTAATTTGGAACAATGACTTAAAAATATTCTGTCTCTAACAGAAATCTGAATCGTCTCCACCTAGCCCTGAGTCGGTGTTTTTTGGACCAATGTGTCCGCCCTTATGAAACGAGCTGAATTTTTGGGCTCTAGAATCCGTAACAACGATGTCGTCTGCATTACTTCCCACTACCACTGTACAATCATGCACGATCAACTGTCTATCTAACACAGTTTGAACACCTGTTAGGATCGTATGAATGTCGCCTCATCACAAACCGGATTAACCCAAGGTACCCAAACACCTTTGGCCCAGTCCAGAGCACGTTCTGCTCGGAACTAGGTCTGTTTGACCTATTTGCCGCATGTTAGTTTAGTCCAATTTGCCATTTGGATAGGAAATTGCTAAATACAGAATTTGTGAGAGCTTGATTGTCAGTTACCATTACTACACCCGAGTGTAATTGGATCATGTCGAGGGGCCATCTCAAGAATACCTTTCCTAGTAAATTAGTTAGTCTATTATATCTCTAGTGTTTTTTCTATATGCTAGGGATTCTACAAGGAAAAAAATGGCCCTTCCTGAAAATTGGCTTCTATTTTGAAAGCATGACTTGGTAGAAATCGCATTTCATGCTTGGAAATACCAAGACTAAATTATATTGCTCTAAAAATGTTTAGGAACCTCAGTTTTAACCATAGCATCATAATGAATGATAAGGCCAAGTTTCTTGTAGGTTTCTTTTTCAGGGAATTTCACACACGCACGCACGCACACACCCGCAAGCACGTTCTTTGTATATCTTTGAACATATTTGGGTTATCATTACGGGAAAGATGTTAGAATGGCATAGCGCATAGGCTTTATAGGCGCATAGTCAGTCGGGAAATCCCTATTCGAAGCTTGAAGAGTTGTTCTCATGTCGAAGTTTAT